ACCACTACTACTACACTTCTAATAAATGACTCGATCACACCATTGCCATTTCTCAACTGCGAAAGCATGTACATTCCCTGGATAAGTGATTTTGGCAAACCACCGCCAGCACGTCAGGTATCAAAATGAACTGTCGATCTGGCAAACGCTCTCCTGTTCATACAAGTGTAGCAGCTGGCGTGACGTCACATCTTGGTTTCCACAATGGGGATCTTTTATGAGAGACCTAGTCTAGAAGAAATGAGGATCACTTGGGAAGGAGCACGAAGGAAAGCACAGGACAGAAGACAGTGGAGAGCTGTGGAGGCCCGCATCGTCGACAGATGACAGCGGCGAAGATGATGGTGATGAATGGGGATTCAATCCCCATACTTGTTTCTAGTACATATGTCGTCCAGATCCACAAGGTCTGAGACTACACTGAATACGCGGACGATAGCGACCTGTCCAGAACCATGCCCTGTGCTGATGTCGTGGCGAAAAACACAATGCAGGAAGATGCTTCACAAATGGACTCCTTGGCAGCCGAAAATAACATGATAATGAACGGTAACAAATCCTATGAATGTGTCCCAACCTTAGATTGGACTGTCAAATTACACATGTAACTAAGAAGATGTAGATTCGCCTACAATTCCTCCATCTCCTGGCTATTTAACCCTATCTAGACCGGGCTTTTTGAGCTTGGTGGGACCGGGGGGGGGGCTCATTAGACCCCCCTTTAGAACTCGAGAACGGTATGTTGTATGACCACCAAATTTTTAGAGGATGGTGTACTAGTAAAAAATTATCATATCTACTATTTTTATGTCGTTATGACGTAATATGACGTAATTATGACGTCATAAATTCTGATTTTATTGGCCCAAACCGTCTAAATAAGTTATTCCCTGAAAACTAAATGGTTTTCAACATAACTTTACCAAAAGTGTTTATGGCAGAATATTAGGGTGCACTAAGTCTTATGTTACCCATAGCAACACCGGTAACGTCATAAAATGATATCATGCATATTTAAGCTATACGCGATTTTGGATCATCAATCTTGAATTTTCAAAAATATTTTTTTTTTCAGGATAAAGCCTAAAATACATTGTAAACAGACTAAAGACGTTCATATGAACCTTTTCTGTAAAAAGAAATTAAAGTTTTGCTGAAATTTTAAGGAAAATAACCTGTATATACCTGTTCTAATGATATGGTCCCCCATCTTGGATTTGGACCAATGACGTCATCAAATTAGCATAAATTATGCATTCTAAATTATAAAATTTACATAAAATTATATGGGATGTTATTATTATTAGAAACCATGTTTAACTTGACATATAACCCATAAAATTCAATTGTTGAAACTAAAACTACTAAATTTACCAAAAAATGCCTGCTACATGCGTGTGACCTTTAACTTACAGTTCATTGACGACCCTTTCACAGGTGAAGAAAGATGGTGAACGTTATTTTTAAACTACTTTAAAGCTGAATATTTAGTTGTAAGTAATAGTCAGTCTAATCTTTTATTTACTATATGTACTTTTGTCCTGGCAATATCAATCATCACTTTAAGTCAACCAAAACAAGAGTACACCGGCATCTTCTTCCACCACCAGGACTTCTGCATGTAGATGAAACCTTGCAGTTGCTGTAAACCAATGATTAGCCAGGAGTGTTACAAGCCAGGCTATTGTTTATTTTAGCACATGATAGAAAAAAACACAACTATTGACTCATTCAAAAAAAAAAGACAAAGATCATCGCTTTTTCATAACCATTTATTAGCCACCTCAAGCTTGAAACTTGCTCTACATTCGGCGTAAGTGTGTGGTTAATGATTGAAAATCGTTATTTTAGGCTTTTTTTAACCCTGTCGTGGCTTTTCAGATTTGCAGTAAGCTATTACAAACTGTACAATGTTGTTACACTCAGACTTTGAGAACTATGGATCCGACTGTTTAGAAATCGCTGCCATTATTATTTATACTTCATATGTGGTAACTAAGAAAAATTCAACATACACCCACAAGGGGATGTGAACGCGAACAGCTAAGCTGGAAGTTCGGGCGCGGACTGTTGAGCTCTCCCTCCTTCCGTGTATGGCTCCCCCCGTCCCGTATGGAGATCAGTGGTCGTCGGACTCGAACATGCAACAACCTGGACTCTGTCAGTGCTAGAACTGTTCGCTTCTACAATAGCAGCATTCCCCACATTGTCAGATTGCTAAACTCCTCGCTCCACTAGAATGTATTACGTGCAATATTGAAATTGATATTGACTTTTAACCGATCCAAATTTTAAGCAATTTCCAATTTTAAACAAGATCTAATACTATGTTATTTTACATCATCAATACTGTTATTTTAACGCGTTATTTTAGTGTGTATTTTAACCCTACCTAGACCGGGCTTTTTTTGACATGGGGGGACCAGGGGGGGGGGCTCTTTTGACCCCCCCCTAAGAACTCGCGAACGGTATGTCGTATGACCACCAAATTTTCAGAGAATGGTGTACTAGTGAAAATTTATCATATCTACAATTTTTATGTCGTTATGACGTAATATGATGTCATTATGACGTCATTAATGTGATTTTATAGGCCAAAACCGTCTAAATAGGTTTTTCCCTAAAAACTAAATGGTATTCAACATAACTGTACCAAAAATGTTTATGACAGAATATTATGGTGTAATAAGTCTTGTTTTGCCCATAGCAACACCGGTGACGTCATAAAATGACGTCATGCATATTTAAGATATCCGCCATCTTGGATCATAAATCTTGAATTTTCAAAAATAATTTTTTTTCATGATAAAGCCTAAAATACATTGTAAACATACTAAAGACCTTCATTTAAACCTTTTTTGGAAATAGAAATGGAAGTATTGATGAAATTTTAATGAAAATAACCTGTATATACCTGTTCTAATGATATGGTCCGCCATCTTGGATTTTGGCCAATGACGTCATCAAATTAGCATAAATTATGCATATTTAATGATAAAATTTACATAAAATTATATGGGATGTTATTGATAGTAGAAACCATGAGTAACTTGACATAAAACCCATAAAATTCTATTGTTGAAACAAAAAGTACTTAATTTAGCCAAAAATGCCTGTCAGAAACCCGTTGCCATGGCAACACAAAAAATTAAAATCTTATTCCAATGATGGAGAATTGTTGCCAACAATATTTTAGGAAAAGTCACCAAGTTTGGCCGTTCTACGGCTAGCCGTTTAGACGCTAGGTAACATCAAAGTTGCCGCGGGCACTTTTAGCCCCCCCCCCGGTCTAGGTAGGGTTAAAGTGTATTTGCGTGAGTTATAATTCTGAACGTCTACTACTTGTATATCATTGTAATGTCCTTACATCAATTCAGCCACTCATGTGGCTGCAAACTGTGGGCACTTTCAGTCAAGTTGAAAAAAAAAACACTTTATTATAAACAGGTGCTGGTTAGGTACAGGTAGACATCAGAAATACAATTTTTTTGCTGTAAGGTGCATATATATGCAGCATCCCTGATAAAGGATTGCACATCTAAATTTATAAACAAGGCGAAACTTAACAGAGCTGTATTAGTGACATTGCAGCAGGAAGAGTGTAAATATATGCAATGGGCATGTTTTCTTTTGCCTGCAATACTTTGATTCCCCTTTTCTTGAGGTACCGGCCACACCCATCAATCTGTTTTACGCAATGTTTCCCTTCAACTTCCATGGCCTTGTCAGATAGGTGGAAGTACATCTGCGTACCTTCCCTGATTCGTTTTAGCTTTTCCTTATCATGTGCACCCTTTCCTTTTGTACCTGAACAATTTTTTGCCAGGAATTCTTCTGGCATGATTACCTTTTTTCGTACGTTTTTGTGCAAATTGGTGTGAATAGTGACAGTGCATCCTGAGTTCCTGTAGGTCTGTGCTAAAGTATGAGTTCATGTTGTTATTGCTGTTGTCCTTGCTTAATATCTATTGTCTCGCTAGACGTGGTCTCTAGGTGCTGAGTTTCTCTTGGTTCAGGTTCGTGTCAACGTTCTCTCAATGTTTTTAATGAAGTCATAATGGAGGCATAAACGTGTCAATGTATAAGTACAAACTGCGTGCAGACACACTGTGGTCACTGCCTTGCACTTCTTGTGTTTAGTCATTTGTGATATGTAAAGGAACATACGTTATCGTCGGTGATGTTGCTAACTGAATATGTTTGCCTGTAACTTTTGGATGAATTTTTGAAGGGAGATTATATTTACCGCTACAATATTGAGATGTTACTACCAGCATTAGACATTTTTCAGTGTATACGGCTTCTAATTACTAAAGCGAAATACATGTAAAATCGTAATTCGTAATGTTCGCTTTTCCATAGTCAACAAGGTTCGTAACCAGCCTAAAGCGCTGGTGAAGTGTAGACTGTAGAAGTGATACGCCTGCCATTTTATCAACAGTTCATGAGTGTCCGTAAGTAGTGAAATGTATGATTGTAGCAATAAGCCGTACATATCGCTCATGTAGTACACGAATGTTCTGTTTTGTTTTTATTCACAAGGTGTGCCTAGAACTGACACAATAAAAACATTAATGTGCTTTATAACAATATTGTTCTAGAGTTAACTCTCATTTAACAAAGTTATCAACACACATTTCCCCTAGCTTGAAAGTTCATCTGTGTTGGTAGAAGTCATTATAAAACAAGTTTGAACTGCAATATCCGACACAAGAAATTGGAACCATCCCTCAACAGAGCCGGGGGGGGGGGCGCCAGAAATTTTCTGCAACCTATAGCTATGATCCACTGCTCACAAATTCACGTGTGTTATCTGCATGACGTTACGTTCTTGTGTTGGAAATTGCAGTTTAAACTTGTTCCACATTAATTTCCGTTAGATTAATGGTATTCCGACAGGGCGTGAGGTCAATAAAGGGTTAATGCCCCGACCCGAGGTGTATATGGTGAGATAATCCCTGGTCGGGTGCGAATAAACCACCGAGTGAAACGAGAAGCACTTCGGTCACATAGTTTATTTATGTAACTGAAATTTTTACTGAACTATTGGTAGTTAATTTTTTTTCACATTAGGAATGCACAGGAACAAACACTACACGCAGGAAAATATTACAGGGTATATATTATGTATACATACATTTGAAACATCAATATCAGACCCAGGATATAGACATCTCTAGGTTGCAGTGATAAACTGCTTCAGGTGCTGAGTCTTATCGCCATGTATATCGCTGAAGCGGTAGACATATTCACGATATGTTTACTGACAATTGGCGATACCAACAGTATAACTATAACAGCTCTTAATAAATGGATGATACAAATATCCCATGTTACAAGCAACGCCTTCCGTTCTTGGCACCGCACAATAGCACAATAAAACCTAATTAAAAAAAGGCTGCGCTAATTTGAATCAAAATGTGGTGACAAAAGGACAATATATGAAGCAGTATGTACACATACTACAAAATCTTTTTCAACACAACCGATTATACACTATTCACTATCACCCTCTTAGGCTGTCCTTGAATACCTAATTCGTTGGTGTACCATCCATTTGGACGCACAATTACTTAGTTCTTAAGTTTTTATCCAAAATAAACAAAACGAAATCTCTTTAAAATCGATATTGATGCGAAATAATTTCTTACACTCGACGACCAAACTGTACACCAAATAAGTCAACGACAATGTGGAGAGATAGTATATAAAATGTGGCTTTAAATCATACTTAGGTAAGAGGTTTAACACAAACACACTGGAAAATTTCAAGGTTTATGCCTTAAGCGTTCTTATGCATTTTTAAAGAACACAAAAAATCAGAAATGTATCATATATACACACGCACCGAGCACACTACACTTTTAGCAGACAACACAGCTATGACTTGATGATGATTGGATTATCAACTCCCCAGGCGTCCTTAGTGGCCTTCAAGCGCTTCACGGATTCGTCATACATATACGGCAGTTCCGGGGCTCGACTGGAAGGAGGCGCTTCTTCAACACGGTATAGTTTGCCATTGTTCTTCTTCACACTGCATGAAGGTAAGAAATGCACCAAATGTCAGTAAGTGATCGCTGATTGTATGTTCATTTATTCCAGCTTAAAGTTTATGTTATAACATTGCAAGTCAAATTTATAGTATGCGTACAATGTTGGCTTCTTTCCCTGAATGCTATGGCCTAAATATTAACGAATGAGATTTATTTTTGGAAAATCGTCAATGGTGTGTATGGCAACGGCTATTAAGAAATGATACTACATGATTAATGTATCCTGGATATGCTTATCTATGGGGTATGCTGCATTCCAAAACATGTTATTCCAAATCATGCTTTGGAATGGACCACGTTTTGGAATGCAGGTGCATTCCACTTAGTTTCAGCCCGAACCATGATTTGGAATACGTTTTGGAATACGTTTCGGAATGCAGAAGGGTCTCGATATGACATCATTGAAAACTTACCAAACGATGACTGAAACAAACAGAGCGATGACGGCTAGGGCAGCTGTAGCTGTGCTGACGGAAACTTGAAGGATCTCAGAGTCCTGTGGATTCCCCGGTGGCTTGCCTTCGCTAGGTCTGCTTGAAATAAAATTTTGATTATAATGACTGCTTTCTCTATTAACGCTTTACATTAAGGTACAATGGTTTTGCAGTTTAATGGGTCGTTTCACAGACTTTGTATTTGAGCCACTCGTAAACGATGAAATTTCGTGGACGCAGAACTGAATCCAATATGTATAATCAGCCCCCTCTAAAGAGCCATGATAGCAAACGATATCTACGTTTCACAGCCACTGCTTTTTAGTTAAAGGCAACGAGGCTACATGTACATTTAAAACACTGTTTATAGAGACATGTAACGTGCACTGAGTGTCTTTACAGCAGAGGTGGACTCATTGCTTGAATGCTGCTATACAATCTAAAACTTGGGCAAATTGTTTTGCATATTCATCTTCATGATTTTAAATTATGAACTGAGTATGACAAGAACATTTGATTGTATATATAAAGGCTCACGTTGTTCTTGTATTGGGTGGAACAGTGGCGCCATGGAGATACTGTTCATAAGTCTTCATGAGGATGATGTGTTTGTTGCCCAGAGATTGCTGCAGCTGTGGCTGGTTTAGCCGAACAGCCAGCATGATGGAGTCGACTGGGAAAGGCACGAAGTCGTCGGCAGAGTCTGGACGGATGATGAAGAAGGCGAGCAGGATGCCATCACTGGTAGCGGACTGCCGGGGGTAACCGGGAGGGATGTACACGTCGGCAGCGGTGAAGACGACTGCACTTCGCCTGGGAAACAAACTTTGCATATTAGGATATTCTTTCAAATTGGGCTTAAAGGTCGACCGCAGAGGAGATGAATAGACAGTATGATGAAGACTATCCACCACCTAAATCTGCACAACGTGACTCCACAAGACAGGGGCATATAGTGCGATACCTCCAAGCCTCAGCGTCTACATAGGTACAGACATAGAAAATGGAAGGTAGCAAAGGTAAATACCGGTAATGTATAGTGATAGTTGTTTTGCAGTATTCGTTGGAATTTCTGTATCATTTTAGGGGAATACTAGTAATGTGAGGCAGTATACACAGAATTTGCGTGAAGGTGTGCACACCCTGCCATTTTAAAGCTTTAAAAATTGAAAGTAAAAAGTACAACGTCACACTTACGATCGTCGTGCCCTGTCATTATCTCTCATCTGGCAGTCCCGCTCTTCCCTCACCATCCTTTGGCAGTGAGACGACATGATTTCAGCAACTCTGCGCTTAAAGTTCATCCTTACGTCAGCAGTGAACTATCGGAAGATCATAAGAGGCGTGTGTTCAGTATTGAAGAGGGATCACTTGAAACTAGTCTGAAATTCCCATTTTATTTGTAAGAGCACGACTAAATCAAGAGAAAGAGCCAAGAAAGGCAAAGAAATTTACCTCATCTACTGTCATCACAATGGTCAGAACCACAGTGTTCTGTTCATGCGGCCTCAAAGCTGTCGGATCCTCTGTCAGCGGTAACGCTGCGGTTGTACTCCTGGTTGATGCATTGGGACGTTCGGTGGTAATAGTTGTGTGAGGTTTGGTAGTAGTACTACTTGTAGTTTCAGACTGAGAACTGGTAGTTGCTGTAGTAGATTTTACATGCTCGGTAGCAATGACTGGAGTTGTAGTAGAAGTGGTATGAGGTGGAGAAATTTCAATAGTGGTAGGGGATGTAGAAGTAGACGGGGTAACAGCTGCAGTAGTTGTAGTGGTTGGATCTTGAGCAGCAGTGGTTTTGGTTGTTGGAGGTGAAGAAGTTGTGACTGTGCTTGGAGATGCAGAGGTGGATGGAGAGACACTTGTAGCAGTGCTGGTGGTGTGAGTTTTATCAGAGGTTGTAAAAAGTGGTGCATCAGTGGTTCTGATGGCGTGGCGGGGAGAGGTCAGTGTTGTGCTTGTTTGAACCACTGGAGTTGTGGGTGTACTTGTCAAGGGGAAAGGCGTAGATGTAGCAGTAGTTTCTGGTTTAGTAGTAGAGGACGTTAAAAGCTGTGCATCAGTAGTTTGGATGGTTTCACGGGGAGAAGGGGTATGCATAGTGGTTGTGCGAACCATGGTGCTAGTGGTTGCAGTGGGGGAAGAGGTTGGTGTACTGGTTGGTTCAGTGGAGGTAGTTACAGCCTGAGTGGTGGTGAAAGTGGTTGAAGTTTTAGTGGTTGTGGAAGCTGTTGTACTAGAGGTTCGAGACTGTAGGGTAGACGCCATGGTGTTTTGAGGGGATAACTCTGATGTAGCGGTTACAGTAGTGGGGGAGGCTAAGGTAGTAGTCACTGTGGTTGTTGGGGGCTTAGTGGTAGTAGAAAGTGTACTAGCCATGGTGCTTTGGGGCGAAGACATTGATGTTGTGGTTTCAGTAGTGGTTGGTGCTACAGTGGAAGTGATGGTGGTGGTTGAAGGCAGAGTAGTAGTGGCTGTTGTTGTAGTTGTAGTTGTAGGCTTCTTGGTTGTACTGAGACTAGGCGTCTGTGTTGTTGCCTTTGTCGTCATCATGGTTGTTGGAGGCTTAGTGGTAGTAGAAAGTGTACTAGCCATGGTGCTTTGTGGGGAAGACATTGGTGCTGTTGTTTCAGTAGTGGTTGGAGCTAAAGTGGAAGTGATGGTGGTAGTTGACGGTGGAGTAGTAGTGGCTGTTGTTGTAGTTGTGGGCTCCTTGGTTGTACTGAGACTGGTCGTCTGTGTTGTTGCCTTTGTCGTCATCACTTGCGTTGTAGTCACTGGGGTTACACAAGGTTGACACAATCAAATTTAATTTTCAGGTTTGATAGACAGACTGTTTGTTCTGCACACAATCACTATCTCCCAGTCGAAACCTCGGTGTTAACTTGATGTGCCCAACGCCTTTGCATGCTACAATTTCGTACAGTTGCGTTACATTAGGAGTACTTACCAGCCACGCATGTGTCTCCCACCAACACAGCGTCCTCCTTACAGCTGCAGTGGAAGGAGCCGGGATCGTTCTCACACACCTCCAGGTCTGCACAGTTGTCTGTCCCCTCATAGCACTCATCAATGTCTGTTCAGAAACATGCATGGACAGCATTATGCTACTTTGTTTTTCTCAAAGCCACACGTATACAAACCTTTCACAGTTTGCAATTTACATCAACATTTATCTTGTAAATTTCAGATAACACGTTAACAAAAAGCCATATGAACTTAACAGCATTATGTTTTTTTTGTTTTTCTGAAAGACACATGCATACAAACATTTGACAATTTACAATTGACAACAACATTTATTTTGTTAATGATAATTAAAGGTTATATATTACAGTGTTGGGAGTGTCATCATCATCACCATTGAAATTCCAATCGCTTCCCATCTTTGTTTACAGTCCATTGCCATGAAGTCTAACAACGTTGATATTCTGAAGTACCTACCTAAGCACAGGTGGTCATTGTCCTCATCAGTGTAGTACCCCTCCCCACAGTAGCAGCTGTACCCTCCAGCGGTGTTATTACACAACTGAGAACAGTGGTGATCACCGGCTGAACACTCGTCATAGTCTGCAGACACAGGCGAGTCAGCATTAGATATTTTAGATTAGACTGAGTAAGCTTAGCAACGTCGATATCTACTATTAATAGTTTCATCAGGTTGGTAACTCAAAGACACTGAGTAAAGAGACTCTTTTACACAACCAAGTCTTGTATTCAGCAGACGCTTCGGTGACCGTCTGTCACATTCCACAGGGCAATTCTGACTAGTATACACATATGTATAGATATGTAAATATTGTACGTTTAGGAATGCATCTATAGGAGTGACACCTGTGCTGCAATGCAATGTGAATCAGTCAGAATCGAGGAAGGTGACAGACGGTCCTTGAAACGTCGGCTGAATAAAAGACTTGGTTGTGTACAAAGAGTCTCTTTACTCAGTCGAGATGTACATGTACTATTTTCTTATTTCCCCTTTATCTGCCATGCAACTTGATCAAGTACTTCTAGAGTTCAAAGTGTCACAAAAGACGCGCCTCATGATTCCTATTGCCCATTCCCTTTCTCAGGTTGCATCATCCCATCGTTGTTTGTAGCACAATCACGGCCAGCACAGAAATACAAGCCTTTTATGTCTTGAGTAATTTTGACCTACCTTCACATGTCCTGTCGTCCACAGACAGCACATACCCAGCCCTACAGACGCACTCTGCAGTCCCGAGGTCGTTAATGATGCACCAGCCGAACTCTGAATCACAACCCGGGTCGTTTCCGTCACTGCATGGATTCTCAGCTGAAAATGGTAACATATAAACACGCTCAGAGCAACAACAAGACCTCCTTATGACAAAAAGGGCTAAACGTTCTTGCCAACACTGAGTAAATAGGGACTTACCCAAATTTTCGGCCGACTCCGTCAGCCTTGTTCACGGAATGTACCCTTCTACTCCGGGACGTGACGCCGAAAAAACGTGATTGCAGCAGAGGGCCGTACGTGTTGTCGACGTCACGTACCATTAGTTGCAGTAAAAGGGTCCATTCCGTGAACAAGTCGACCGAAAATTTGGGTAACTTCCAATTTACTCGGTGTTGACAAGAACGTTTTTGTCCTTTTACGCTAAGAAAACGCCTCCTATTACGTGGCTGTGGTAATGAGGCCTTTTTGGTATCTCACTATCTGTATTTTATATATAGTACACCTAACAGATTTCATGAAACTTCTCTGCATTGTTATATACATTGGACTAATGGATTGTGTTTTTATTTTCTATCCTTAGTGGTTCGAAAGGCTGTTTCACTCCTCTCAGGTACTGTGCTTACCACAAAGAAATGTGCTAAAAGCGTTTACTCACTTTGAAAACAGATGTTAAAGCATTTCACTAACCATTCATCCTGTATTTCAAGATAAAAAGTCTATGATAGGTACAGTTGCTTGTATATAGGATACTGCGTTTCAACGCTTACAAATCTGTGCAGATGTGCTAGCTTTAAAAGCAAGTGTGACTCACGTTCACAGTCCAACCCGTCAGACGCCAGGGTAAACCCGTCCTGACACGCGCAGTTGAAGGACCCGTCTGTGTTCACACACTGCTGACTACAGTTGTTCAGCTGCAGGGCACACTCGTCTATGTCTGCAAAACAAAGAAAGAAAGTTGGTGACTTTAAAATCAACTCTTACTACTAACTCCTGCCAAGAATATCTTAAACCTTGACTCTTGAACGTGGACATTAGCAACGTTATCCTGGGGAACAATGGGCTCTTCTTCTCCACTCGTCCCTGTTCTCCAAGAATATCTAAGAAACTGTATACATGTATGTTATGTTCGACAATGATGTATACCCGTCAGGAGATAGCTATGGAAAGCATATACAAAAGAAACACACGAAAAAAAAAAGTTACGTACGAAGGTGCAAATGGGTTTTTGTTTCAAGCATGATTCTCTCATGCCTACGGGCAAATTTGACAGGAAGTGTCCATTTTCTTTGTGTTGGAGAGAAATGTTATCCAGAATACGACAGGAATTCTAAGTTGTTCCTATGTTTGTGATACAAACCTTGGCATGAGACTCTGTCCGTTGCGAGTTCGAACCCGTCATCACAGGAGCAGATGAATGTTCCGGGGTAGTTCTCACAGGTGTGGGCGCACACGGCCCCTTCTGGCGTGGCGCACTCGTCAAGATCTGGACCAAATGGTACAAGCCACCACTGATAGATTTTATTTCAAACTTTATTGTACTGAAAAGACCCCGATGCAATATTGTTGTTATAATGTTTAACATAACAACATTTTAGTATATTGGTGGTTTTTTATCATTGTATAACAGATTGTATACCATTACCTCAGCAATTTTGAACTTGCCAGCATACCTGTAATGTTGTGTTGGCATTCCGAATTTGCTTGCAGTGAATTGATTTTTAAGATTTGGTTGTAAATTGGACGTAATTCAGTGTTCCCACTGCAATGTTCAATAAAGTGATCTTGAATCTTGAAATGAATAAAAATCACAACTGCTGTAGAAAAAAAAGAACTACGTCTAGAGGTTGTCAGATGTCAAAGACAAACATTGATATGGAAATTCAATCCTGATTTCAATCCTGATTTCATTGTATTTTGTTCTACCTTGGTTCTACGTTATATGATGATAAGGTTACAATATTGTTTCTCTTATCTTGGTAGTATGATCTAAGTATCATGTATGTTATTTAAGTTACTTTGATTTTGTATCAATTTGTAGTCTGCGTAACATCATTTGATACCTTTGTTAATATTGAGTTCATTTTTTTAATAGATTTTGTTTGGGTTTTTCCCCCCAGGAACCATTGAAAAGCGCCATCAGGCGATATGTATTTCCTGGATAAATAAACAAAACAACAGCAACAATAACAGCATTTTATTTTCAATTACCTTGACAGTCGAATCCGTCTCCCGTATATCCCTCCGGACAGTCCCCGCAGGTGAAGCCGTCCCGTCCGTCCCCGGCTGGCGCGGGGAGGTCCACACACGTCACGCCGGGGAAGCATGGGGAGAAGTTCAGCAGGCAGGCGTCAACGTCCTCCTCACACCGGTCCCCGGTGTAGCCAGGTGCACAGGTACAGGTTCTCTGTACAAACCTGGAAGATGGAAAACATTCAGACAACGCGTACAACATTTGGGAAAAAAGTGGCTGCTCAGGCCCAGAGCACTGCGGGATAGTCGGTTAATCTCCAAGCAGATCTTTTGGTGGGGCTAAGACAGTATCAAATTGGCCAGTCTAACCATTTCCTTGGGTGGGGAAATGGTGACAGACTGGCCAATTTTATACTGTCTTACCCCCACCAAAAGATCTGCTTGGAGATTATAGTCGGTGACACTTGTACAGGACAGGACAGGATGGGTGGTGTTCAGGGAAGCTAATCTCCGTCTTTTAAATGGTCGTTGACTTTTGAGACTGTCGATGCCATATCACAGAACGGCTTTTTTCAAGACATGTGTCAGCACGGTCCATTCACTCCGTGATGTTTCGTGGCGTAGAGGATTAGGGTATAGGTTAGGGTTTTAGAGCTACGCTTTTAAATATATGAACCTGGTTTGAATCCGAGCTTGTTCTTATTTTCTTTTTTACTCCATTTACTATTTTACATGATCTTTCACATTTGCAATTTGAATGTTGCTTTTTAAGGTAAGTATTACGTTTTTGGACCTCAAAGAAATGTGATACGCTCGGATGTGACATCGAACAATCAGCGATATGGCATCGAAAGGCGACGACCGTTCTGAACGTTCCCGCCAACGCACATCTAGGTTGGCTGTTCCTATTGGTTGGTTGGCTGTTGGTTGATAAGATTTCTGATTTCCATTCTACGCAATTCGATAAAAACACGGTGTGTTTTCTACTTCATGACAATTCTATCATGAAAGTTCATCTGTGTTAGTAGTTACATGTTTAAAGTAAAACTTTTGGTCCAACACAAAAAATCCCCTCACTTAGAGCTTTCGACCAGTCACTCTGGTCTTCCTCAGTAGATTCACCCAGTGAAGCTTGTCACGTGGCTTCTTTGAAGTGTGACGTTGGGCAATGAACAAGACTTTTTCTTGAGAGGTGTGAAGGAAGCCATATACATCAGGGCCTATCATCATTCATTGAACCGCGATGGGGGCCGACATCGTCTACCAGATACCTTTGACCCAGTGTTGACGTCATACTTCAAAGAAGCTACGTGACAAGCTTCGCTGAATGACTGGTTGAAAGTTCTAGGTGAGAGAATATTTTTGTGTTGGACCAAAAGTTTTAACTTTAAACATCAATGACAATTCATTTATAAAGGTGAGAACAGTGAGGTTACTAACTTTGTCTCTCCCCCCGCGGATGCAGGGTCGGGGTCCCGGCTGTTGCCACAGTTCCCCCCGTGCAGACAGGAACACATGTACACCACGGGCCGGTACTGGGCTGTCGTGTTCTCCGAACCGAACACGTCAACTCTCAGGTCAAACGGCGCGTCAGAGCTGACCTAAAATATTACAGAAATACAAAGTGGGTGCTATAATCTGATGCTACATAGAAATTCGGACTTTCCTTCTAAGCATCCTAACACTAGCAGGGTCATTGATGTGAACTTTATGTGAATTCGACAAAAAAAAAGGAAAATGTGATATAATGTGAATTGAATGTGATGCGGGAAATATCACAGATTATCACATTAAATTGCATTATTTAGCGTTTACAATTACGTTTACGTCACATTATTGCAATGTGACAGAAAAGTCGTCTTTATGCAAAAAAATGTAACTGTGCAACGTCACAAATTTAAAATGCATAAGAACTTCGTTTTCCAAACATTTCACATCTTAGAATGTGAAATTATATTAACTAAATGTGAATAAGACTTTTCCTACAAAATATAAAACTAAGTAACAACAGACCACTTACTTGTCAGTCACATTTTGATAATGTGATTAAATGTGAAAACTGTAGTAAAAGCTGTGGCAAACAAGCTACTGATCCTTTTAAAAACTTCAAGCGTACAATAATGCCCTCAGATTCACGTCCTACGACAATGTTACGACGAATATGTCAGAGCCCTTTCAGTTTAATGTAAATAGAACAGACGTTACTTCCCTTCTACAGGTAGATTGATACCTTTGGTTTTTCTCTTTCCCTGACACGTTCATATATGTTTAAATTCAGTTGACTTTATGTGATCTTGATCTGACTTTATATGCTTTGAGTTGACTTTATGTACTTTTGTGTTGCCTTTATGTATCATTTATGTTATGTACCACTTTAACGTTGTATTAAGTTCTTTTTATATTTCTCCAGTATGATTTGACTTGGATTCATGTTTATGTGACTTCTGTACTTCTGTACTTATGTTTATGTGATTTCTGGTGTCTTATATGGGATGGTTGACGAAGAGAAATTCGCAAGATACGATAATAAAATTTCATTCATTCATTCATCCATCCATTCATCCATTCATCCATCCATACACAAACACACACACACATCCATCCACCAAACCACCCATTAATCCACTCATTAATCCACTCATTCATTCATTCATTCATTCAGTCAGTCATTCATTCATTCATTCATTTATCCGTTCATTCATTCATTCATTCATTCATTCATTCAGTCAGTCATTCATTCAGTCATTCCCTCGATACCAACCTGCCAGGTAATTGTTGCCACGTCCCCCTCAGCCGTCAGACGTACAGAGTTCGGCACGTCTTCCCCGAGCGCGAACACCAGTGGCCCGTTGTTCGGATCCGAAGCGTTGATGCGGATTGTCACGGTGTCATTGACAGTGGCGTACAATGCGTCCGGCCCGCTTACTGTCGGAGGGAAGCGGTCTAGAGGTGGAGTAAGAAGGGCATTTAAAACTTCGTTACTTCTCCATTGGTGATTCTACATAAATGCTAATATATGAAATGCAAACTCTGAAAAAAATATACCCAATTTTTTTTACATATGTGTTAAATCCAAATCTGTCATTAGAGTAAGCTTTTCGAAACTGCAGTTGTTCTTGTTCTAGTAAAATGTTCAAATAATTATCTGCAGGAAAGGCAAGAATATTAGAATCTTCAAGGAATCTATTTGAGGCAAACTTTTGTGGTTGTAACAAAATAGGTAGTTCCTTAGTTTTGCACACAGACTTACAGTAAAAACATAATAACAAATATAATTAATAACAAATGTGATGATGACTATATTACAGTACGGGTGTAGTTACACGCAAGTTCAGAAACACACAATAAATGCACTTGGTCTAATAAAGTAACCAAGCAGGCGCCAGCAGTGCTAGTGAGTTGGGCCAAAGGACGGTTATACCTAGCCTCCTTCGCAGTCTTGTTGGGCGTCGGCGTAATTTTTTCTCTGAGCGACGCGAGTAATATGCCGCCGCGAGGGACGATTTGCTGCC